CCGGTGGTGCTGGCCCCTGCGCCGGTGGCCCCTGAGCTGAACGCCGTGCTCAGGGAGAGACCCCGCGTGCGCCCGACGAGACTGCTCCTCAAGTCAGAAAGGCCCTTGGCGGCCTCCTCGCTGGCAGCAGCATACTCTTGGCGGGCCCCCTCATAATAGCTCTCGCCCTGCTTGCGGACGTTATCCCAGAGTCCACCGATGCGTGCACCCCAGGGGCTGGCGGAGAAGGCGCGGAATGTTTCTTGAAGCTCCGCGTTGAGATCGACGTTGGGGCGCTCCGTCTTAGCGGGCTCGTTCTGGTCGGTTTCCTTTTTCGAGGCCTCGTTGGGAGAGAAGATCTCCTCCTGGATGTGGTCGTACGCTACATCCATCTCTGTCAGTTGGAGATAACGAGCGAGTTGGAGTTGGAGTTGGGAACTCAAATGACGGAGCGGCGGGTCAATGGGCAGGCGGGCGGTTTGGTTCCCGGGGTTACAACGGCCCGACCGCCCCCACGTAGTTTCAGGGTCTACTTATATTAGGTAGTAGTCTACAGCTGCGATAAGAGGCACAAGTGCAGTGTGGTATGTAGGAAAGATGTAATTAAATTGCTTGTCATTCATGTACTCATATCATTATGTATCATATACTTGGGTGTCTTCAAACTCAGTTCTCGGAAATTACGTTCCCTTGGGCGAGCTGTAGGGTTCTCCAACTGTGTCCTGACTATCCATCAAGAATACCGGCAGTGGAATGCTTTCCATCACGCTTGAGGTGAGTAGGTCACTTCTCCTGATCAAGCCGCGAGGACCCGATTCATCTTGATTCTGGGAGCGATTACGATGCCTGTCTGCTGGCTGTGACGACTCGACTTGTACTATATCTCGCGAAGCAAGACAGTGAGCGGGCGTCCGAAAATTGGCGCTTCCGCTATCATGTCGTACAATGGGCGAAGATTCCGGAACAAGTTCAGTCAATGTCTGATCTGAATCTATGCACGTCTCAGGATCCAAAGATTGGGTCTCAGATGCAACAGTCATGCGTTTGGGAGTTTTAGAAGATGGCTCTGTCAATGACATGGTAGCGATGCTTTCATCGTTGCGTTCATCCGGAAATAGCTCGGCCAGTCTCTGGGTGTTCAGATTGGGCACTGGTCCAAGGGGGAACTGAGTGGCTGGCTGGATTCTGTGATAGTATATCGATGATGCATCTGAAGTGGGATTATCATCTAGATGCAGCTGCTCCGACTCTTCTTCCATCTCCGGAGGAGCCATTGGAGGAAGAGCCTGTGAGCTCTCTTCTGTGGGATCTTCATGCTCGAGATTGGCTGCACCGGGATCGTAATGCGGTACCTTCCTCTGTCGAGGTGATTCGATGGGATTAGGCAGATCATCTTCCAGGTCACCGTAATCTGTTTCCGCGTCTGTCTCATATACCACGGTTCTCTGAGTATTAGGGACATGTTCACTGATTCTATGATGCTCAATGGACTCCTCCGACTTCACTTGTTCGGATAATAGAGCAATGCTCCCTTGGTCACTGGCGGAATTGCGCGGTAATGGCGAGTCTGGAACCAAAGCGGCAGGTTGATATTCATTAGATTCTGAAATTTCACTCGGCGGGCTATGAGACGCTTTTTTGATGCGTTGCAAGAGTGGCGATTCTTGCTTTATACACTGGCCTGCAGTGTCGGCAGCGTCGCGCTTATACGGCGAATGAGTTGCGGTACGGAACTGCGAGGAAGTGATGATTGCGAGACCCGAGCTTTCAGGCGACTGAGACGACGGTATCTCACGCTCCCGCTTCGCCCGAGGGGTCACGGAGCCAGGGTCTAGAGGGTAATTTTCCTTCTCATTTTCCAATTTGACCTTCGTATCAGCAGCGATGCTCAATTTTCGTTTCTTGCCTCCGCTTGAGGCCTCTTGGTCGGAGAAATGGTCCGACTGCGGGGCCAGATTACCAGCAGCGTGCCGATTCGCTTGCTTCCTGTCGTTCTTTTTTGGCGTGGTATAAGTATATTCCAACTTCACCTCATCGTCCGGTTCTATCTTCAGATAGCGCCGCACATAGTCCATCTGTGTCAGAGTCTTGTTGCCCTTCTTTGCATCCTTGTCTAATTTGTTGCCCTTGACGCCTCCGCCACTCTTCCTGCGCTTCGACTTCGAGTCTACTTCGCGCGAATGACTGGACTTCGAGTGTCCGGTCGATGTACTGCGCGGCCCTTGTTCGAACCTGACCCCGCGGGCTCGGCGAGGCTGGCGACTGGATGGCGGCCGATACTCGTCATCGTTGTTCGAATCGTCATCGAGCTCTATCACTTCATGATGGGCTTGCCGGCCCCGCTGCGGTTGCTTCTCATTGAGGTACTGGAGGCTTTCATCTGCGCGGGCTGGCGGGGGTGTGGGCGTCACAAAGTCGATCTGCGTGAGGGTGGTTTGATCTAACGTGCTAGGGACATGATTTCGTTTGGACGACCTTGCGGAGAACGAAGAAGACGCCGGCGGGTCGCACCAGGACTGGCCCTTGGCTGCATTCGCTATACTGGTCGAACGGCGTGCTCCCGAAGAAGGCCTGTCCGGCGTTTGGAAGGATGGGCTGTGACTCGTCTGGGCGGTGGAAATAGTATTCTCCCCTTGGTTCATCGCAGATTGAAACGGTAGGATCGAGTGGAATAATCACAGTGAGCCATAGGAATATGTTATAGCAGTCTTGTTTCTGTGGACTGGGCGCTTGGTGCTGGTTAACTGACTCCGACCGGGGCCCGGGTGCTAAATTGATTTCCCCGTTGAGGCAAATCGCGTCGCGCGTCGGACCCGTTCTTTGAACGTGGTCCGTGCACCCGCAGGCACCGAGGCACTCATCCTTCGTCATCGCTCCTGCTGTTCAATGATGGATCCCCGTCTTCTTCTCATCAAATATAATGGTAGGGTGCGCTCAATCTGGAAGGGGCTCAAGTCTTTAAATATGAGTCGCAGTTCAAGAGAATCTAAGATCCAGCTGTCAGAAGTGATATACCCTCTGTTCCTAAAGTTTTGAATGTACTTAGACGACCCCGGTAAAGTGTCAAAACCCGCCCACGGAAGTCTTACATACATCCAGTGGGACAGAAGCCATTGGCTGCTTGGAACACATCTACGTTTCTTTTCCTCAATAGGCTCGACCACTGGCAGAGTGCAAAGCTACAGTATCATGTGTAAGCTTTAATCATGCATTGCGTCACAGATACGTTCCTCCCGAGCATGATAGTCCACCGCAAACTACGAAGACCTTAAATGAGGGTGAACAACCACAAAAGTCGACAGACCTCAGCCATACATTAAAGCCAGCATTGTGATTACCGGGTACCGACTGCTTTCGAGCGATCTGGAACCTCAAATTTTCCCTTTCTATGCTGTCAAGATCCCTGAAATTGAAGGCGCCGCTTCCGTGGACGCGGTTATGCTACTCTGACCGTCGATGTATGGCACACGTCGCCGATATCGCTAAAATACCAACTGTGCGTCAAGATACAGAGTGTACATCATATTCATAGATCACTCCTGACCGTCGACTACTATATAGGACGATGACAAGCCATTCAAGGTCCCGATCGCAGAAGAAAGCTATGAAACATACAATCTCGAGGCACCTCCACATACACTCGAAACAACGAAAAGACAACTTAAACAACTATACCATGACATGTTCATGATCAGGTCAGTTTATCTCTTCGTATTGGGCCCAAAAAATTGACACCGCCAACCTAGAGGCACATACTAACAATTCCCCGCAGGCGCATGGAGCTGGCGGCCGACAAATTATACAAGGAAGGGAAAGTCCGTGGTTTCTGCCATCTATCTATAGGCCAGGAAGCCGTGGCAGTGGGGGTTGAACATGGGATCTCCAGGGACGACAAGCTCATCACCGCCTACCGCTCCCACGGAACCACCTTGATGCGCGGCGCCACCGTCAAGTCTATTCTCGGGGAGCTGCTAGGACGCCAAGATGGCATCTCCCACGGGAAAGGCGGTTCCATCCATATGTTCCGAGAGAATTTTTTCGGTGGGAATGGCATTGTGGGATCGCATGTTCCGGTTGGAGCGGGAATCGCATTTGCCCAGCAATACAACAATCGAGATAGTGTAACCGTCAACATCTTCGGCGACGGTGCGGCAAACCAGGGTCAAGTCCATGAGGCCTATAACCTGGCCAAGCTGTGGGATCTGCCTATCATCTTCTGTTGTGAGAGTAAGCTGTTTCGCACTCTTCTTTGCATCCCTCCTCGTGGCGAGATTTCAAGTTTCCATTGCCGACATAACGCTAATGGCCAACCCTAGACAATAAATATGGAATGGGCACATCTGTGCAGCGATCATCTGCAATGACCGACTTTTATAAGCGCGGCCAGTATATCCCCGGCTTGCGCGTCAACGGGATGGATGTCCTCGCGGTTCTGGCTGCGATGCGTTACGGCAAGGCATTCGTCCAAGCGGGCAACGGACCGTTGCTGTACGAGTACCAGACCTACCGGTATGCCGGACATTCCGTGTCTGATCCAGGCACGACATATCGGTGCCGAGATGAGATACAGGCCGAGCGGCATCATGATCCTATCTCCGTTCTCAAGGATCAATTGACGGAATGGGGTGTAATCTCGGAGGAGGACACGAAAGCGATGGAGAAGGAGGTTCGCAGCAAGGTCGACCGCGAGGCGGACGAGGCAAATCATATGCCTGCCCCGGAGCCAAGGTTGGACGTGCTGTTCCAAGATATCTATGTCCCTGGTAGCGAGCCGATGCAAAGGCGGGGTAGAACCGTCGACGAGACGTACTACTAAGACGAACAGGCCAGGCCACTGAAGGGTGTCTCCTCATAGTGAATCATAGCATGTGATCCGCATCCAGCTGTGTAGGATATATCAGAGCGCAAGAGACCCTTTTCCCCCCTGCACTCGTAGGAGACTCATCGTAACCTCGACATCCCTAGCTCCTAAGCAAGAAGCAAGTCAGCTAGTACGAACCAACCAACCGACCCAAATCAAGATGGTTTTCCAGACCCCACCCATGACCACCCCGGAGTACTGCACCGCAGACTTCTCGCTTATCCCCGTACGTACTACTTCCACCAACACCTAAGACCCCCCTCAACTCTCTCCTCCGAAACCCATGAATCATCCATCAAAGCAGAGTCCTCACCCCAAACAACCAAATAGATCGGCTCCAAAGACGTCTCCTTCTCCAAGCAAGTCGCCGAGATCCAGCGTTTGATCCAGAACACCGGCCTCAAGTCCCAGATGCATGCCACCGGCACCACCGTGGGTGAGTCTAACCTCCCGGTAGAACGAACCTCTGTCAAGAAGCGAAGAATCCCTGACGATGACATGATCGGAAAGAGGGAACATGGGACCAGGTATCGCAGACCATCGGATGCGCTCACACCATGATCCATAACGAGGGGGTGGGCAGGATCCAGACGGATATCCGCATCGCAACACGGTAGGTCAGATACGCTTGTATTTTTTTTCTGACATAGGGAAGAGGGGATGTTATGCTGACGCGTTGTTGTTGTTCTTGTTGACAGGACCGATAAGATGCAGCCGATGGAGGAGAGTATCTCCTCCGTGCAGCGGGTGTTGTCTACTTGATTGTGATGCGATGCGAGTTGTGTTCGGGGATACGAAAAGTGACGATTGGTGCTTTGTGTTGCTTGGTGGAGTGCGGATTGTTGTACTGGGATGGATGATGGAGTAGGCTAGGTTTAGTAATGAAATTGTCCCTTTTTGTCTTCTTCGAAATGTAGTAGACCGAAGGCTGTGACTGTAGGTTGTGGGTTTGGTGATAGAAGCATTGAGGAGGTGTCTTCTGCTACGGAGCTGGAGCACCCGGAAAATTCGTGTCTAGTGTGTTTTCTAAAGACGATATCTCTTTGAGAACGTCGGAGTAAGTAGGCTCAGCAGAAGAGTTTTCTTCAAGCACCAACTACACCTGAAGAGCTAGACAATCCCCAACCCCTTAATTAACCTGGCTAAGAGATATATCACGACATGATATGATTACAAGACCACTAAAATCTTGGCACAAATGATGAAAGTAAGACAAGGACATGAAGAACTCCTGTCCCAAGGAGGAACAGACATCAAGCTCTGTACAGGACATTGGATAAGTTACTTTCCACATCGTCCCCTTTCCCAGAGTCGAATACTAAATGTATTTCATGGCCGCAGATTCAGCAGCGCAGCCAAGACCGATCGCAATATAACCGAGCAGGCTGCTGAGCACATGGACAATCGATAGATTGATATCAACTCGACTTCATACAACGGGGGGGCTCCTTCATCGAAGAGTCCAAGTGGCATGGAGAGCGGTTTCAATAGCTGCAGCTACTATGTACTAAACCACAACACCCAGTCACAATCACCCCCCTGTGGGCGGGACGTGGAGGGGTGGCGATGGTATGAAGAACAGCGATGTAATCGATTGCCACTTCGAGACACATACATGAAGAACTGCCAGACCAAAAGCTCGGTTGCAGCTCCGATCAGCAATTTGACAAGGAAGTAGGCCTGGTGAAAAGCATGGGTGGTTGTTCTTGTCGCTTTCCTACTCGGATGGGGACTCGAGGCCTTTAGGAGTGTTCCCCATGTGTTTTGCGGAGGGTCATTGTTGCTTCTGAATCTCTGCTGACATCGAGGATAGATCTATTGTACTGTACCTAGTAAGAGCTCAAGATAGCGTACGGTTGGTTGAATAGGGTCATGCACTCAGTGATGGTCGGGATCGGGGACACTCTGGCCCGTTGGTTGTCGAGGAGGTAGGAAAGCATTGACCCCATCTTTCATGTTTCAAGTTAAGCAGGCGTCGCATGTGCAACAAAGACTTGGTCTGTAGGTGCGCGTTGACTTACTGATTCCAACTCTGTAGGCGAGCGAAGAAGTCCATTGACGCGGCTGAATAACGTAGGATCCCCTTTCGGTGATAGTCATTGTAGGTTACCTTCCATACACCGGTGGGTTCTTCCAGTATTTGGATAATCGCAGATAGCCACATGCAAGGCAAGGTTTCGGAACAATTGATAGAAGGTGTGTGGCGGGGAGGAGGGGGGTTGTTGTTGATTCATACGTTGTATGGTTTTAGTGACATACAAACTGTAACCTTGTTGCATACAGTACGTCACACATACATGGTATACCAACGTGTCTCACCGGAAGATAAGCAAAAGGATTGCTCAAGTCTTTAGAACCCTGGAATCTGTGGGGATCCGGCGGGCTGGGATGGCTTATGCCAATGGAAAGGTGATATTGGTGGTAGACACCGACCACCTGGCAGGAGATGGCAGGCATCTTCTCCCGGGAGATTTAGGCAACCCTGCTCTCGGTAGAAACTAGATGCCTAGATGCCTAGATGCCCTGTCGTTGCTACACTGCCTCCCTCCCCCTGCAAACACACATATGCACACATACATAGGTAGCCCTCTTCTGCGGAGAAGCAAGTGATTAGGTGGTACAAAGAGCATGGTGGAGGCCCACCTGATTCGTGCAAAGTCTTTTTCGTGCATTACGGTGGTGAAGAGCTAGAGAACTAACTCTTGGCATGATGCCCTTGCTCTTCCATTGTTCTCATGAGGCTCGACAATCTTCCCCGATCAGGACGGATGTGCGTAAACCTCGCCAGCAACAGTCACTAGTCAAGTATTTGTCAAGTCGAGAGCGGGACTTTCATACTGAGCTACTGAGCTGCCTCTGGGGCAGTCAGTCATCTTCCCCTTCGCTTTGCAAAGTCTCCGAGATGCAATTCCACTGGATCTATTTGTAAATCTTAAGCTGTCCACTGCCAGATGAAGTTTGAAGTTGCCCCAATGGAGAAAATGGTTATACATGCTGAGTGACGCTGACATAACTGTGGCTGCCAGGACTTGCATTTACGTATAGGTACCATCCTATGCGCTTGTTCATGAACGCGCCAGTCGGCGAAGCGTCGGAAATGAGGCAAAATGGAGCTATAAACAGAGTTGTCTCTACCTAGGGAGGCAAAGAGGATCTCTTCGAGCGGCTTCATCCCCCACGCCGAGGACAGCCATAGGCTGGAACATTGGTTGCGAACATGGGGTTCTGGTGGAAGATCATCTAATTTTTCCCTTTAGTCTAGTGTCCCGTTTTGTTTTAATCTGGAACCGGCCCCATTCCCCCTGTGCTCGACCCAGTTGCGAGGAGTCGGACTGTCGGATGGTCTGCCTTAGTAGACTATCGGGCAGGAACAACGAGCCGAGCTCTATGCAGTGTTAAGCCCCACGCGCTATCAACAATATTTTGGCTGCTAATTGGCGAAGATGAGTCCCAAGGCAGGGATCTAGGAGCCGTTGCGTTGACTTGTCCTTTCCTTGATGGCTATGCTCTCATGGTGCAGTAGCTTTCCGGCCGGCCACTTGCTATACTGTTCTAAGCATTAGTGAGACCAGTAGTAGGGTTGGCAAATAAAGCATTGCGAGCTAGCGAGTGCTTTTTTTGGGATATGGGAACCTTTCAAATCCCGAAAGTCTCTCTCACTCAAGCGATTGTTGTCATGACCAGCGTGCAAGTTTCTTCTACCATCGCTCTGCTCTTCCTTGTCTTGCCGACGACTTCCTTCCTCCCTCCGCCTGAAGGGCCTCGGAGTGTACATCTCACTTGTCTATCAAAAAAGCACTTGCATCGTTCTGATTCTTGCCGAATAACATCATCGCTTCATGTGGCCAGCCTTCATGACAGACTGTCACACTGACACGAGTTGCCTTATAGGGAGTAGATGTGACATCACTCGAATTTCGGAATTTCCTCGAGCAGGATGGCAGATGGACTCCGTCATCGATGATTCCAGATTAACTTCGCCTAAGCTCCGTCCGATGGGGGTCGCCGACTGGGTTGCCTTCACAGGACTGGTGTTGACAGTTGTCACCTTGCCTACCTTACCCCACCATACCTATACAAGTCAATGCACCTGGATTAGGCAGGACTCTAAAGGACAAATCCGATCAAATGTCAGGTGGATTATGGAGTTCTAGATCTGACACCCGGAGATTTTGCTCGCCTCTTTGCTCACCATTGAAGTCGACTAAAAGAGAGAGGTATCCACCACGACGAACATAGAGCTAACCAATTAGCCCTAGACAGAAGCCTTTTGTAGCCTCAGCATCAGGTTATGCCCCTCGGTTCTTGGTCGACGATGGTGCAAAGCCCCATAGTCTAAGTCCTGGGTCGGAGATGGGGGCACTCTCCGAATCGGGAAGTAACGACTTTCAGTTGAGCTGAGCCTGAGTGTGAGTGATTCCTGCCGTAGTGTTCTTACCCCCTCTCCTATGAACATCACCAGCTCACCAAGCTCATATACTAACAGTGTCAAATCTCTAGAAGCGAGGAGTCAGCACTTTCAATTCATTTTTCTATCACTGCCCACGCTGCGCTTTTTGATAAGCTGTTATAGTTTAACTGTGTCATGTTTACTTCCGCCAGGGACTCTGACGATGGATTGCAAAACAGACAGTGAATCATGGGATCTGATTTGCAGATCGGCAAAATTATGGTCTAGACTAGATCTTGGTATTGAAAGAAAAAAAATTGCTTGACCGGCCATTGCAGTACTATGGTAACGAGGTACTAAAGGCCCGAAGTTTGTACTTGGGGGGTTCGTCTGCTCGGATCCGGAAACGGAAATAGATTTACCTCAATGATCCACCACCATTTTGCAGTGACTCAAACTATGCTACTCTGTACAAGCTCTCTCTTGGCAGCAACGAGGCAGTAAGAGTAAGATGCACCGTGGCCGTCACCCCATTGGCACCGTTTCCACAGACTGCCGGGAAAAGTGCCTCCTTCTGGACTATGGCCCAAGATTTCACTTAACCAACAGCCATCCTCAAGAAGTGAACATGGACTGTGACAAGCAACCTGGAGGCTGCACTGTGCGTAACATGACCAGAGTTTCATTGTATGCATTGTCACTTCATGAATACCTGTGTACTGTACTGTACCTTAACGTGCTCGACCTCCTCCCCGTCTCTTTCGGCTGTTCGAAAAACTGGATCGCCGCCCCGCAGATGCATCCTGTAGGCGCGCGCGGTGGAAACGCACCGAATCCGCTGGGAAGGTCCGAGAATCCTGAAAGAATGACCAGAAATTTAACTCAGATTGCCTGCGACTGTCGTACGATGTTGGAAAACCAGCACTAACTTAGGCATGGAAGCCGGCCGAGACACGCCCGGTAATACTCTCTACTCAGGGTGTGTGCACATGTACTGCGCACACAACTAGGTATGTACAACATAATCTGTATAGGCCAACGCCCGGTTCACCATCTGGTATACGCCTGTGTATCTTATTTCGCCCATTCCTGCCACCTAGGCTCTTGTGTCGTTGCAAGCTTCACAAAGGACAAAGAATTGACAACGAGCAAACTCCAATTGGAACCGGTTCAGGGTAAGGGTGAACGACGATTAGCTTTCGCGTTCAGATGCGGGAGCTTCCCGGCATAACCGCAAGTGGAGTTTGACCTTTGGATTTGAAATAGTGGAGGCATCAACACGGAGCGGTCGAGGGAGGCCACTCGAAGGATGCGATGCTTGCGATTCCACCATACTGGGTGGGTCAGCTAGGATCCGACAGCCAGGATCCGACAGACTGGATACGGCGGTAATTCCGTGCCTCCTGTCTATTTCGGCCATTGTACTGTAAAAGAGGGGGAGGCCGTGTCTTCAGATGCCCATGTCCAAGACAACTATTTTTATTATGTATATTTTTTCATAATACTTATGTTGTTGAATGAGAGGGGTGAGGGGGTGAAGAGGATTGTCGGACACGGAAACGCAAGTCGTAAGACTGGACAAGTCTAGTCGCTTCACTCTCCTGCTCTCCCAGTCTGGTTTTGCCGGGCCTAAGCCTATAGTCAAACGTTTCTCATCTATTAAACTTCGGTCGCGTCGTGGAAAAATTACACAGAGCTCTCTTACGAGGATCATGCAGCCTGCATACGCGCAACAGACCTTATTAGTGAGAGGTAGCTTAGTGTTCAGTAGTTATAGTAGTTAGCAAACAGCACCATTCCAAAACTCAGCCCAGTCGGATAATGTGGGAGCGATCCAAGGATGGGACTTTCCAGCCGTGTGGCACCAACAGCCATTGGATCCCGGGTGGTTTTTCTGAAGATCTTCCACAAACTTACCTCCCTGCACCCGTGATTGTCTCCCAGTGTCGTACAAGAACCAACCTACAGCTTGTTACCTTTCTCCGAAGTACAGTACCCGTTGCCCCTTCCTATCTTTTTTCTTTTTTTCCCCTTTTGATAGATGCGGAGATTTCTGGTGCTGTGATAAGACAATGTATCAGCTTTGAACGACTGCCACTGCCTCAGTAGTAAATAAACCTCCGTATCGTGTTGCAGATGTCGGGTATATCTAGATTTCTTGCGCCATTGGGACTAAATCCCAGCTCGGGTGGATGAGAGAACCCCTTTCAAGTTTCAACTCCCTCCTCTCTCTGATTAGCGAATCTAATCTATAGTGTAATGAGCCTTTTTCTCCACTATGATATTCAATACCATCCATGTACGTACTCATCCGTACACACCCCATTGTAGAACGCACCCGACAGGCTGGGACGCCCGTGCGCTTTTAGCCCGATGTTCTTCTACCGGCTACTTAGTGCTTGAGTACCGATGCGTAGTGCAATAGTAAAAAGAAATAAGGATAAGACAAGCCACATATAAAGACTGCCAAATTGAAAAAGTAAACATACTACCGAGAATCAAGACCAAAGAAGAGCCGTCAGGGATCTCGACAGATATGATGAACGTGTTCATTTTGAACTCCTCTTCAATTCCTCCTTTTACCCCTCCCTCTTTGCTGCTAGTAAAACACTCCCACTCTTAGCAATTGCTCCGCGTGAACTCTACCATGGCATGATCCTGGTCTTAAGCGACGTCGGATCCGAACCAAGGATACTAGTAGGAATGTCTATATCTGTTCCAACGACCCAGGGATCCCTGCAATAAGCTTGGGACTGATTCGAGGTTCCCCGTCCCCGTGATGTTAGGAACTTCGAAGCTCGGTCTTTTATCATCTCTCCGGGCTGGGTGATTTTTTTTTCTGTTCAGTTCTCCGAGGCTCAATGTCTTGGGCTCCACTCTCTTTCAGTCTGTCTTGCTTCAGAATGAGCGGAGACACAGTTGGTTTTTTTTTTTTCTCTCTTTTTTTTGGTTTTTTTTTGTTTCCCTCTCATCTGTTCCTGTGTTATGTTTCTCCATTAGTAAATTTTCTTCTCTCTCTGTTTGTCCCTCCCGGCCCTACTCCCGGCCCTACTCTTAAGTGAAAAGGGGGATTCCCGGTTTCTTACTACAGCTGGAAGTCACGAGATAATTATCCGTAACTACGTAGTAGCAAGTGCGGAGGGATTTAAACATCCATCGAGCGAGACTAATGAAAAGTACGAGTACGTATGCCCATCGTACCTTTCACCATTCAAGGTAGATAGTAAGTAGTATAGGCAGAGCACAGAGTACTAAATCAGTCACGTTAGTCGAATTTAGAAAACCAAAAAGTTGTGTTAATGACCGGCAAGTTCTTGATGGGGCGGGCTTTGCGTGCATCCGTCTGGGTTGCTGGGCTTGTTTGTCCCGCCGCCCGAACCGCCCACTTGGTTCGCAGGGCCGCAGCGGTAATCGTAGTGTAATAACGCCCCGTCCGCCGGGGGGGGGGGATGGGCCTTCCTGAGCGCTAACTCGTAGTAAGTACAGTATTGTATATACACACTAGAAACCAGAAGATGACGAGAAGCTACTTATAGTTGGAAGTTATCAGGCCCGAAAAACCACGTATTTCATGGGGCTATAATATCGTTCTTTATGATTTATGAAATAGGAATATTACAGCCATTCATGATGATTTTGAATTATCATTTTTATTGGCATCCTTTTTCTCCTGTCAAATTAAGTTAAACATTGGGAGACGAATCCTTCCCCCCCCCTCCTCGTCCTCATCAAGTCAAACTTAATCCAGGCTGCCGGGTCAGTGCAGGTTACCAGGAGAAGAGGAAAAGACAGCCGATGTCTCCTACTACCTTGCCCATCATTGCCCCCTCCCTCCCTTCACGTTCTCTGCTTAGCTAGCTACCGTCATTAACCGTGAAGGCTATGGCAGGTAGTTAATCAAAATTAGAGTAACTTAAAAACTGCCCAGCATTTCTCCAGATCTGGCTAAGGTCCCTAGATCCTCACTTCCAGATTTGCAAGTCCTTATATCGGTACAACAACAGACAATTCGTAATTTCCTCCTCGCCATCGTCCATCACATTGTTGCCCAAATTTCTCTCGTAAGAAACTTTATGGCTGCGTGCTGGAGAGGGAGACGTGATTGTTGTCACTCCTCATCTTGATTGTCTATCATCTGGGAACGTTTACCGAGACAAAGGCTTGGATGCGAACTACTTTTGCTACTACTACTACTACCAAGTTCACCCCACTCGAGACCTGGCCCCTAAAAGTCTTGCTACTCGAGTCTGCCAGTCCAATGGCTGGTGCAAGGTCGGCCGTAAGCATATCTTTTCCTCTAGCTTTATGTGGAAAAAGAAACCCTACTTCATTCCCTTGTTGCCGCTGTGGTCCCCGTTGTTGTTGTTGCTATTTGCCTTAAAACCCCTGCTTTCTCGTCAAATCGCCACCTACACTTTGCCCGCCCCCAACCGGCCCCATTGAGCCTCTACTGACGAACAATGGCACAGGCATCGAATCGTGAGGAGTAAGTCCGATTTCATGTTTTACAACTCGATGGCAGTCGGTTGAACCTTTCGAGGTTCTATTTCTCATAAGTTATACCGGTGTTGACTGACTATGGCAGTGAGACACAGTCGTTAACAGCAAGCGTGACGGACTATCCTATGGAACATGGAAGACGATACCATAAATATCATGAAGGCTGTACGTCTGCAGAGGATCGACCATGTGGACAAGGACCCCATCTAACAACATTCCTCCAGCATACTTGTACCCGAACGATGAACAGGAACTGGATCGAATGGATATGCAACACCACATGCTCAGACTAGTCAACCACGGGCGCTTGTACTTCGCACCTGTCCAACGCCCAAAACGGATCCTCGACATTGGTACTGGTTCTGGTATATGGGCTATCGAGATTGGTAAGAATCCCCCCCCCCCCCCCCAGATTTACCCTGCTTACCTGTCATCCGATCGATCAACTCACATGGTTGCCGCTTCTCGCCCATAGCATCCGACTTCCCAGAAGCCGAGATCACAGGAACCGACCTGTCTCCTGTTCAGCCGCTTGAAGTCCCCGAGAATGTCCACTTTCTCGTCGACGACGCCACGGAGGAGGACTGGCTCTGGGACCCGGATCACTTCGACTTCATTCACACGGGACATCTGATAGGATCTCTACCGTCGTACAAGGACCTGCTGAAGAAAGCACACAAGCACCTCAAGCCGGGCGGCTATGTGGAATGCCACGAGTTCGACTCCCGACTCAAATGTGATGACGGTACGATGCCTCCTGAGGACCCCGACAAGTTCAGCGACTATGCCCTCCAAGATCTCATGGACCTGCACTACCGCTCTGGCCAGGTCTCGGACCCGCCCCGACAGTTCCGAGTGGCCCATCGCCTCGCACGCTGGATGCGAGAAGTCGGATTTGAAGACGTGCAGGAACATCGGTCCATGGTCCCTGTGAATCCATGGTCATCCGATCCACACCTGATGAAGATCGGGACCTGGAGCGAGACAAACCTGTTGGAAGCGGTCGCGGGATGGTCTTACAAGCCGCTCACCATACTGGGGTGGTCGAAGCCCGAGATTGAAGTATTCCTGGTCGATGTTCGGAAAAGCATCCAGAACCGCAACGTCCACGCCTACTACGAGTTCTATGCGGTGACAGGCAGAAAACCACTCGCTGGCTGAGTTGGTTCTGGTCTGCCTTCACTAATCTTAGCGGCATGACTCCTCACATATCCTCGGCTTACTTCTCTTCTTTGTGACATATTGTTTTCTTTTTACTCCTTCTTTTTCTTGTATTAGCTGGCGCTGGCTGACGAGCGTATGGCATACGATACCACTGCGGCAGAGAGTTTGGTGCATTGGGAGGCGTGTCTCGGTCAATTGACTACTTGGAAATATATTGACATTTGGTTGCCATGCTCTCACTTATAACAAGTGCTTTGTGCAGTATCCGACTGTAGGAAAAGATAGTGTTGGTCTATAGGATCCATGATCAGTCTAGACTGGGGAGTTTTTGGCAGGTAGCTTCGATTGTCACTCGTACTTATGCGGCGTATTCGAAAAGCAGATACGGCACAAAATGGATGCTCATGGCTCTAGTTAACTAGAAAGAAGACTTACAAAATACACGATCATGCCAAACATGCAACAATCTTCTGGGTAGGTCAGGGTTGTATGTATACTTCTGCTTGTTCATCAAGCCCTTGAGGGCGATTGATTACCAGGGGCAACGAATGAGGAATCAGGATTCCGTGATTACTCATCATCCGCTGCACTGCAATCTCCGGGCCCGCGGTCTACCGGCCAAGAGGTTCTTTCACTATCAAAATCCCGCGCCTGCTTGTCCCAAACCAATCTCAGCAGGGCTTAATTCAAGTTCGCTCTCCCTTCTCGCACATGTCGATTACCTCATGTCTCTCGGCAGACATGCCTACCGGCATGCTGTACATCCAGCCTCATCATCGTCGGGGTTATTCGACCACGTCTGGATCAGCGATGATCTGTTGGCGTCGACCTTCCGAAGCTTCGTCAAGAGTCAGCGACGCCATGCAAGCCGCGTCCCGGGCCCATTGGAGGCCCGACGACGGCTGGCGAGGAGAAAAAACTGCGCTCTTGCTCCAGTGACCGGTGCGCTGCCACCGGATCCCCATCTGTTTGGGCGCGGTGGCCGACAACATTTGCTGTGGAACAGCGATCACGCGCCCGCATCTTCACCACTATTTTCTCCATATGATAACCCACACTCGGTCGAACCCGATCAGGGGGAGCATACTCGCGCTGCTACGACGAGGATAATTGGACATGGACTTCAATCAGGGATTTCGCACTACGATTTACACACCCCGCTCGCTCCAATTGCGCCTTTGTCGGGCGAAAACGAAACGTTAGATCCGGGCGGGTTTGTCGACCTGGGCAGCTCATCAGAAGCTGTTCCTTCTCCTCCTCCTCCTTCTCCTCCTCCTTCTTTACCACCCGACGGCAACATGAACGATACGGCCGGACTCGTGGACCTGACTAGCTTGGCAGAATCCGAGCCTGGGCCTGAGCTTGGTTCTTCAGGGCGCGATGTCGAGGATTCCGATCTAGGTGGATATGGCGACCCGGCCGACTCGTTTTATACCTCTCTTTCTCAACCACGCGGCGGCGAGGTGAATAAGCCAGGCACCTATGTTGACTTGTCAGCGGAGCCTGCGTCTTCACACCCTGACAGTGATATGGTCGACTCAAGCGGATTTGTGGACCTCGTTAGCTCTTCTGCGTCTTCTCCCAAGCGGTCCAAGCGTGACCTTTCACATCTAGTTGACCCGAACGGTTTGCTTATCGATGTAGCCCGCTTCTCAGATGCTTCGCTTTCTCCGCGCGACCCCGTGGTCACTAATCAGAACGGATTCGTTGAGTTGAACGGCCTATCAGAACCGGCGGATGATAGCAAAGTCCTTCCCTCCAAAGAAATTTTGACGAAGCGTTTGGAAACCTGCTCGTCACTCGAGGCGGTCACGAACTTGATAAATGCGATGGATATAGATCTTCAGCATGAGCCTGGCTACAGTCGCATAGTATTCGATCATTACTTTTCGCAGCTTGCGCTGGGCAAATCAAACGCCCAGGAGCTGTCTCTGTTTCTGGATCACCGGGCACTTAACACTCCAGGAGCTGGGGCTTTCCCAGTTGTTGCAAAGTACATTATTCAACCAGCGACAGACTCACGAGAGCGTGCTGTATTGTTTGCGAGCATGCTCAGGGCTATCAGAGTCGGTGCGATAGTTCCGTCTGAGCTTCGGGAAGTCATCGGGACCCTGCAAAAGTTGCCGGATGTGGTGGTCGCCACGACGGACAGGCCAACAGTCGAGACACAACACAATAGCCCAAGCGGCGTGATGGAAGCATACCAGAAAATCTGTGATGTTCTTGATTCCACAGCGAAGGGCGGTAAATACCCGAGTCTGGACGAGGACACAGCCAATCTATGGCTTAAAATCATCTGGGAGCGGAATGCACTTGCTGAGTTGAGGCTGGCACACAGGATCCTGGCTCGTGCTCGGCATCTTCGTTCCACCTGTGCCTTCTGGGGGCCCCGGTTCATCATCCGCTGGCTTGGACTTCCGGACGGGCTTCGGAGTGAAATCGTTCCCTCCTTCACAACTTTACTCTTCCAAAGGTTTCACTACAATGCAGTAGGTGCAACTATCATATCGGTTACAGAGTATCTAGTTTTGGCTCAGAAGCAGCATCTGCTTCCCAGGTGGCACGACTGTTTGACCTCTATCCGCACGGTCAGAGACATCCCTAAGGCAGGGGCGTGGGTCGACGCACGATCGCAAATTCCAGCAGGATCGAGTCATTCTGGGTTGTCAATCCAACAACGCTTCCTTCTGCGCCTTTGGGTCTTCCGTGCTCTGAACTTGAGTCATGCAGCCGGCCCAACTTGGGATAAGAAGCCTCAGATGATAGGGATAAGGCATCTTATACATTCTGACTATGTACGGCCGATTGAGAAATGGGGGGCGCGAGTCCTCAGCCTTTACCAGGCTTGCCGAACGAACCATAAGAAGAAAGACCTCGTGAGCAGTATTTTAGATGATGCGCGTGAGTTGGAGCTGCCTGCCAATGGAATCACAATCTTGGCTCTTTCATACCAGACCAGAAATGCCCTCAACAAAACCACTAGGGCGGCTCTGCAAGCTTTAGAGACGTCGGACGTCTCCTTCAACGATCTGTTTCGAGACTTTGAAACGCCCTACACTCTCCTCCTTCAGTTCGCACGCGCCTTTTCGAAGATAGCGCGGGAGATAGACATCGAATCGCCGTCTTTCATGCAGCGCGCTCTAGAGCTGGCCAGAATTGGAAACCGGTCAGAAGTCCAACTGTTGTTTCGGATTTTCGACTGGCATGTACCCCTCAAGATCGCCCTGGCGAGGTCATGGCAGCCTCCTCCCGATCCTTCCCGTCATGCGCTCGTGGTCTACGAGCCTCGGGACAGCAGAAGGCACCCCGATCCTCACGCCGCGCTCAATATGATAAACACTTTTGCGGTGGCTCTGTCATGTTCACAGAGTCTCACCCCGCGGCAATCCTATCGATTGGTTTGTTGGCTGTACGTATACTTGATGAGGCATCAAGCACCTGTGCAACCGATCATTGTCCGCGCTATGTATCATGCTGGCGTCGTGCGCGCCCGACGAGAAATGAGGGGCATGTTCTGCGAGGCGCAGTTCAAGTACATCATGCAAAAGGTACAACAGGTCGAGTCGCCGGAGGTTGTGAGAGCGTTGAGAGACCCGAATTTTGTGTGGAGGAACGAAGGAAGCGACTCGGTTGCTGGGAATTAATACCTACCTTCGAGTTGGGTTTACATGCACTGGAGATCTCATCCCGCATTGCCAGGTAGGTGTGGTTCGAGGCATGCTGGGACTGTTATTTTGTATCGCTTTCTCAACATGTTCTACATTTTCTACCAGACGTATTATACCCCTGGTTGTACATAGATACTCTTTCAGACACTTTCCTCCGAGTAGAATTGGCAATATCTAATGGCCCACTGGTAGCCCATGTTCATTTGGTCCATAAAAAGCTTTATTTGTGCGTAACTCGGGTACAGAATTAAAAGACATGATTCTGCGCCCCCTCCAAAAAAAGGAATTACATAGCGCTTTAACTCCACCACCTGGCTGACCACAACCCCGCCTGGGACTGGTCCTATCTAGATGTCCACCTCCATCAGGTTGGGGTCCCCGGAGGCCTCCTCCACGGTGACATACTTCCGCATGTCCTCCTTGCTGATGACCTTCTGGTTGAGGTAAGCGGTGGTGCCGCGGGGGAAGCGGTAGTTGCGCTCCTTCTGGCCGCGCTCGTTAGGCTTGATGTAGTTGCGCAGCAGCTGGGTGGGCTGGTCCTTCTCGATGACGCAGACGTCGACGTTGCTACCGGAGCCGAGATCGTTGAAGATACCGGCCTTGATGGCCTCGGCGCAGAGGGCGACGGCGCCGTCGCGGTCCAGCTGGGGCTTCCACATCGACTCGAAGACGGACATGGCGGCCAGCGAGCCGGAGCCCATGGTCACGTAGGGCAGCTTGTCCGTCGAGCCGTGCGCGTGCACCGTGAAGAGCCCGATGCCCGTGGGGTCCACGCCCGCCACCACCAGGTACGCCCCGATGTGGCCCTGGTACCGGAACAGGTGCTGCTTCAACATCGTCATGCAGGTGATCACTCGCGGCGGCCGCCCCGTCGACAGCGAGTGCAGCTCCACGTTCGAGCTGATCAGCGCAGTCGTGAACTCCGTGTCCGCCGCCGTACCGGCGCCCGCACACCAGATCTTCGGCGCGATGTAGTGTAGCTTCTCGCAGTTCTAAGTATTCCCGCAACCCCGCCCGTTGTTGTTAGCCTCCGTTTATTGAATGTGAGAGAGAGAGAGAGAGAGAGAGAGAGAGGAAGTGTGTGTGTATTCTTGTGATTTTGTGGTGGAGTTGGAAGGGTGAGTTTCGATATAGGGACGCTAGGCGGCGAGGCTTCTTTACCTTGTCTGCTACTATCGGTCCGCTGGTAGCTCTGGTATCTGCCGCAATCTGTAATCATCACACCGAGAACTTTAGCTTTCATTGTCCGCTTATCCATCGGAGAGATGGGATCGTGTATCATGAGGGGCCCAAGACGTACCACAACACCATTGTCATATATACAACCCACAATCGTGGTACCTGTGCTGGTGGCCTTGGGGAGAGGCACGCCCTTGGCGTGAAGAGCCGCGTTACGGTTGTAGTTGGAGAAGTCGAAGCCGGTCATGGTGACGGCGTGGAGGTCGATGTGTTTGTTGTCGGGGATGAAGGCACAGTTGTCAAGATTTCAGTGATTCGAGGAGGATAAAGGGGGTGGTAGGAGGGTTAGGTTGATGTATCAAGTAGAGAGAGGTTGAGTTCCGTTGCTTAAGCTTCAACGGCCACTGCTGGAGACGGACGGAGCTGGGAGTGACGAAGCTCCGGGCGCCTGATCTTGACCGCCTCAGGCAGAAAGGCGGTGTGGCGCGCTCTCGCTCTCGAACCC